CCCAAAAAAAAAAAAAAAAAAAAAAAAACCCCCCACCCCCCCCCCCCCCCCCCCAAAAAAAAAAAAAAAAAAAAAACTTTCACAAAGACTGGAATTATGTAAGTGGAAAAAAGTACAACAAAGAACACATTGAGCATTTTTCTGTACCTTTCAGTGTCTTCACATGAACTGTTTCACCTCTGAGGCTCTGCGAGGACGTTATTGGAGCTCAGCGCGTTCCGGGCGCCTCCTGCCATAAGGCCCGGCTGTGGCCCCCCATGCAGCACGCCCCTGCCGCCCCCCCCCACCACCACCCTGCTCTGCCTCCGCTCTTCAGTCCTGTTGAGAGACGAGCAGAGAAAGTGTCTCGGTCGCCTCATAAAACTCATTGTAAACACATTCTCTATGAGACAAATACGGGAAAAATGAGTGCACAAGTTTTTCCCGCTCACCAGCTCATCAGATAATCGACATACCAAAACAAAAGACGTGCACGATGTCGCTCCTTTCAGAGCTTAAAAGCAACACATTAATGATGCCAGTGTTTTTGGATGCATGAGCTTTATGAGGTTTGTCAAGACCTAAACACTCCTGTGCCCTTACAGACAGATATATGGCAAAGCATTTAACGTTTAAAGCCTATTAAGTAGAAACCAGATCATTGTGGAATCCTGGGTTTTATGGCAACACATAAACATAGAAGATTTAAAGTGGCGTAAACACTTCATAAAGTTGGTTTAAATCTGGGTATTCTCAATGCTCATGGTTAAGTTATGTTAAAAAAATGTATCAAATTGTGTTTTCTATTAGTTCCACTGAGCAATACACAAACACTGATTACAATCAACCAGAACCAGGATGTTTTCCACCCTTCTTTTCCTTTTCCTCCAACAAAAACRTACCGCAAAGAGGACAATATAGCTGTTCTAATCATCCTTGAGAATCTTAATTATCCCTAATAGCTTGCACCTTAAAATGGAGCTACCCTTTATTTGGTTTTAATCTAATGTTTGCTTTTAAACTACCGTTTTACAGGTTAGCTAAAAGCCTGTGTAAAATGTACGGAATGTAAGCTATATGTAACCAGAAATAAATGGGCTGTTAATTTAAATTACTGCGTTGTCCTGTATATAATCCACACCAGAACAGGAAGCGTTTAACGATTCGCCAAAGGTGGTCTCTGCGTGTCTGGGTGGGATTTAATTGGGTGAGAGCCTGATACATTTTTAAAGGATCGACTCATTTCTCTTGAATGTTTTATTCTTTAGCTTCTCAACTGTTACTTGAGGTTATTAAACTAATAAAAAACAAACAACATTAGACTAATTCCCTCAAAATCAATATATGTTATTACGTACATAAACATACCAAACAGTTGTGCTCTGATGAATCCAGCCCTTCCACAATGCTGCACTGCTTTACTGGAATCCATCTGTGTGCAATATTAAACATAACTAAGAGGGAAAAACCCRTCCACATGAAGGTGATGACAGAGTGAATAATAAGCCTTGATGTTGAGATAATTGCCAGTTGACCTGAGGGACATGATTGTTAAATTTTATAATCCAAAGTGAAGGAGRACATTAATGCAGGGCTAAGGATTGACACAAGATGAAAAACTAAATTATTTTCATTTTAAATGAGATTCAAACGTAGTGCGCAGCTGAACCGGGATTTAAATAGGTGTTAAGGATGTAAAAGTCAGGAACAAAGACAGAAAAGTTAAAGAGAGATATGTAAAAGACTAACCAATGTGGACATGAACGTTCGAAAATTAAAAAGCATACTACAGGAGAAGGCCCGGTGCATATCAGCGATAAGAAAAGGTGGTAAACATGATAAGAAAACAGGAAAAAGATGAGCAACAAAAACTAAGAATAAAACTAGGACTTTGCGGCAACAAGACAGATTAAACATTAATCTACATGTACAATTAGGCCACAAGTAAACCAGAATTATAATCTAAAATAACAAAGAACTTCACAAAACTTACTCTCCTAAAAATCACAGACAACAGCTGTGATGGCCTGGGTCTGGATATAGATTTAAATGTTTCAAAAAGTAAAGAGCAGTGACTCAAGACTTTTACATAGTATTGTATTTAACACCCTTTGTGTTTGGATAAGGTATGCAGTAAAGTCATCCAATACATATCTTCTCTTTACAGTGTGAATGAACTAAATCAGCAGATCAGCCGGTTATGTGCTCTGTTAGTCCTGAATGGCGAGGCCACCCATAACCACCAACTGACAGCACATTAGCTCTAATGGAGTCAGCTTAATGAACCCTGGACAGATTGAGTGACAGGCAGCCAGAGTTGGCTCACAATCCGGTCTGCAGACCAGGGACAATCTAGCAACATCCAAAAAAAAAAAAAAAAAAAAAAAAAAAAAAAAAAAACTGGCAGCGCCTTCATTCAAACGGTAAAAGTCACAGACTCCTGTGGAAACCCGATCCACCAGAGCTGGCTCTCATTCAAAGGGGGAGGGAGGTGTAGGTGACTTTATCTGAAAGCCACTAGTGGGCTTTGAATGACACGTTGCTCATTATGTTCCTGTGGTCATTCATGCAAAACTGATCAGAAGGTTGAGGCTGACTTTGGGTTCTCAACTACTATCAAACATTTTTGGGAAAGAAATGTTTCATAAACCTAAAAACATTACTAAACAAGGCTTTATTTGTTTAACCTGTAGCCTGGTCTTGACCAAGATGTTCACCTCATGTCTTTGACTGAYGTCACAGCTGATAACTGTCTGATAAAACATCACTTCAAAACTGACCAGACTTATACTTTAGGTTTGAACCCATTCATCTTTTGGAAAAAGTCCAATTTGGGCACTTGTGAACATATTTGTGTCTCAGTTACTTTTTGATTTTTGTTAAAAATAGTGCCATAATAAAACATACCTGTTCTTTTAATCAAACCATAGGACTTTAACATTCATAACTGCTACATTTGATTGTAGTTTGTGGTTTTCTTACTGTCTATGCTTATTTATTTACATGTATATATTTTTTACTTATTTCAATTTTTTTCAGTGATTTTTGGTCAACTGTGGCATGGAAACGGCTGCACCGATCAACATGAAATTTGGCATGAATTTAGAGGTGTCCATTCTACGTTGTATCAGCCAACAGTTTTACGATAGACCCCATATTTGAGGAAGGGGCTCGTTCTAAAAAGGAGGTGTCTGGACACACAAAAATGCTTATAACTCCAAAACTATTCAACATAGGAGCTTTTTGTTGATTTTGCAGATTTTTGTTGTTTATCTCTGATGAAGGGCTATCCATCGGGCTCAACAATGACACCCCCCAACCCCCAACCCCCACCCCGGATGCCCACCCGAAACAATAAATCTGTTCTGGTGAGTTCTGAGTTGTGGTGCATTGATGCTTCGCGTATGTGTGTCGTCATTTATGTGCAGTATCAAGTTATTACATGTAATTTACAGTGTTCACTTCATATGTAAACCATTTGAAACATTGTTTCTGAATAATAGTAACAAAACCTTCTTACACCAAAGCTGTTTTGAAGCTTTTCATATTCCAGGGTTTCTTCCAAGTTATTTTTACAGTTTTGCACAAACTTTTTTTTGTTTTGCTTCAGCCTGCAGACTAAATGCATAAACAATTTAGCTAAAGACTGCTTTATGTTTATTTTTTCAAAAAAGAAAAAAAAATACTCAAACCTTTTGGCGTTATTTTGCAACTAGATTGCTTCGCTGTCATCATTCCGCTGCCTGCCAAAATGTAGCTTGGAGAAACCATAAAAAGCTTTTGTATCTACTAAAACATTATAATTTCTACATTGTTACAGTATGTCCTGTTCCCGTCTTAATTGATGGATGGGAATCTCCTAATTGACAGGTTCTGCTGCTCTTCTGTGGTCGTTTTATGGAAACACATTTAGAGGCAGGAAGATGCTGCAGTGAAAGGATCTAAACACCACTCGGTTTGCCTGTCAAAGGTAAACAAAGATTTTATTGCTATGGTAACTGCACAATATGTTTCTTCAGGAAGTATGCTTTTTTGTTGAAGTCTCAAATTGAAAGTTTAGTTGTATGAAAAAAGGAACGGAGTAAAGAAAACCATCAGTGTCATRAAGGCAGAATGTTTTTTTTTTTTTCACTCGGAGCTTGTGTAGCTTCACATCCCGTTTCGGGTAAAAATAAYTTAAAACAGTGAATGAAATTTGATTCATGTTCTGTTGGAGAAATACTCCTTCTTATAGAATGCAGATCTTGGATCAGGACGCCCACTGTGTATTTAATTTGGAGCTCTTTAGACAGAAACCCAGCACACCCACGCTACCAGAGCAGCAGCATGTGATGGCTGACAACAGGCTGAGGACAGAAAAGAGCTGCTTTCAGTTTGCTTTCAAAAATAATTTCAAAGGTCTGTTTTTAACATGTTTGTTTTAGTTTTGTTTAATTTTATTTTGATCTTCAAGTGCTGGTTTCTACCTTTAAAATACTGGAATTAATGGGTAATTAACCCCTCAACAAATAACTTTCTCTCAGGGCAAAGTCAAATAACATCATTTGACATCTACTTTGGAAAACCCCAGTAAACATAATCCTTCCCAGAACGTTTTAAAGAAACTATGTTTTAAAACTTCAAACGAACAGAGTTATGGATTGCATTAAGAAAAATCCACAAAGAGTCGACTACTGAATGGAAACTGTAAATTGACATAATCTAAGTTGATAAATATGTTGGAGTATAATTTCTCTCCTCTGTTTTCTTGTGTTTTTCTCACATGGCCTGAAGACACGCTTTCCACACTTGCTAACCTGCCTTGGCTTGTCCACAAGTTGTAGGGAAGTGAAACGTCTTATTTTACTTTTGGCAACTAGTCAAAGAAAGCATGTTAAAAAGGAAAATGGTATGCAATTGAAGCTTATGATTTCCCATTTCTCCTAACTGCTGGCCGCGTAGCATCTAGCAGAAGCAATTTTCTGTTTTGCTGTTATCAGACAGCTATGCAGGAAACTGTTTCAAATGCAGCAAAATCTTGGGCTGAGTAGCGTAAGCTCCGCTGGCAGTCAGCTGTGATTTAAGGCAGATGTGTGGAAGTCTCTTTGACACAGACACACTAAGGCCCCTCTAGGTCCAAACCGAGCCCAAACCGAGTCAAACCAAAAACTACAACAGGCAGGATCAGTCGATCAGCAAGAGCTGATAACTGGGTTTTTTTTAATCCGAAGTGCCCAGAGACACAAATCACTCAGCTGAAAGTAAAGGTGGAGCGATGTCATTTTTGCTTGTGTGTGTAGCTATGTGA